AGCAAACAGAACGTCTCATAAATGGACCAAAAAATAACATCATGATAAACGGATAAAAGGTTGAAGTTGTCAAGGATTTCTTTTTGCATGAATACACAACGCTCCTGGAAGCAGTCGTCAGGAAAGTAATCATCAGTCTGTCTCTACCACAACGGTTCTTGGGATGCTCATGGTGTGTAGCCAGCGTCCACCGCCGTCCTGAGGCGGCCTAGCGGGCTGCAGAAACAAGTTCTGAGGCAGTCCTGTGAAATTCAGCCAAACCCTGGAGCTAGGGCGCGGCCAGAGTTCCGACAACTAGTCTACCTGCCACACTCTGACCTGCTGCGCAGTGTGTACTTGTATCACCGGATCCACAGTGGCAACATCAGATAAGTGCTGAACTAAGAACCGCATGGTCGGCGGTTCGAATCCACCAGCCGTTCGAGACAGACAGATGAGGCTTTCTGGTCCCACAAAGATTTAGTCTTGGAAACCATATTCAGGGTCTTTATGAGTCTGAGAAAGATATCATGTTTGGTAGAGTGGAGGATCAGAGAAAAAGAGGAAGACCCCCAACGAGATGGATTGGCCAAGTAGCAGCATCAGTTGGCCCAAGATCGGTCAGTGTTTCGTTCTGCTGTGCATAAGGTGGCACGTTAACCGACTCCATAGCACGTTAACAACGAATCGGAATCGGCTAGATGGCACTTAACAACAACAATCGCCGCGGAAATCGCCAGCTCCGGCAGCTGTGTTCAAGCCATAACAAAGCTATGTCGCCCGTCCCGGTGACCTTCAGGATCCTAGGAGGCCGCCTGAAGGCGACAGAGCACCGGAGACGCTGCCCGTTGCACTTGACAGGAGAGACCACTAGGTGGCGTGGGTACGAAAGGGGCGCCGGAGTGACTGAGGGAGGTGGGGAACTCACCTAATGGAAGATTAGGAGTCTTCAGAGTCTAGCTCCCACCATTTAGGGAGATCAAGAGACCTTTCCCAGCGGGCGTGGGAGGCGTGAGATAGGGCAAAGGGCCCCTGGATGGGCGGCAAGAGACTCCCGATGGTGGTGATCTGTCCTACTCTTTGCATAAGGGGTTGGGACGGGCAGGGGTGCCAGTTGGCTGGACTTTGGCAAGCTGAGATCTTATCGAACGCTTGCCTCCCTTCTGGTCAAATAGAGGCCGAGACACCCTTCTCTTGATCCCTGAACATAACCACCCCTTGATTCCTCAAGGTGATTCTTCCTTCCCATATTTAACTCCGATAAGAGCAGATGCTTTGCTGAAAAGGAGTTTGGGAAGGTGCCCTGATGGATGATGGTGAAAAGTGTCTTTAGGATACCCCCCACCCCACCCCAACGCCACCCCCATTAATCATGACAAACCAGGAAGGGTCATAGGGATTTCTCACCCTCACTGACCAATTCAAGTTCCCTCAAGATCTATACTTGATGGTTCTGAGGGATAGCCCACCCCCGGCACGCACACACACACCTAGGGTTTTTTAACAAAGGCAATAAAAATTAAAGATGCAGGGTTTTTTTTTAATCAAATGTATTTTGCATTAGGCATATCTGCTGCAAAAGACCTCTTTAAAGAGCCAAGATGTCAGTGTGAGGCCTAAGATGTGCCTCACCCAAGCAAGCCATGGCATTTTCAACCACCTCATATGCATGCGAAAATTGGTCATTGAATAAGGAAGACTGAACGTGTTTGAATTATGGTGTTGGTGACGAATATTGAAAGTCCCAGCAGAATAAGCAAATGTATCATGGAAGATGTACAAAGTGCTCCTTAGTAGTTTGGACATGTGGTCAGGAAGAATCAGAACTGGAAAAGGACATCATGCTTGGTAAAGTCATGTGAAAACGAATAAGATCCCCAGTGAGACGGACTGACGGACACAGTGACAGCAACGGTGGGCTCAAACAACTGTGAGGAAGGCACAAGATCAGGCAGTGTTTCATTGTGTTGTGCACAGGGTCGTGGAGTTGGAACCGACTTGACGGCACCTAACAACAGCGACTTTATATAATGACAGATTTGTTATTAATTTCCGACTCCTGGCAACCCTGCACAGGGTTTCGGAAGCTTTCCAACTTTGGAGCAGAAAGCCTTCTTTCTCCCGCAGAGCAACTGGCAAACTTGAACGGCTTAGTCCAGTGCTTGTAGTATGAAGCCAACGCACTCCTTAAGTGACTGAGTTGTTGTTAAGTGCCGACTCATAGCGACCCTGCCTCTAGGGTTTCCAAAGAGGGGCTGGTGAATTCGAACGGTCTTTCTTGTCAGTACAGAATGCTTGTATGGATTTGAACCGATAATCGTTGGATTAGCAGCCGAGCGTTTACTTCGGCACCCTCAAGTTTATTTATAACAACCATTATTTTCCTCATTATAACCATCTTTTGATTTTAAAAGGGCGTTTCCTTTTCCTCTTCTACCCAGGTACTTCCGGTGCGGAATTCTGGGAAAGGTAGTTCATTAGTGGTGTGACTTTACGGTTACTTCTGCTCCAGCAGTGTGAGGTTCCGTCCACGTTTTTCCTCGTCTTCCGACGTTTTGATCGCTTTCCAAACTTTCTGGACCTGAGTTTGGGACCTATAACGACCAGGACATCGATTTAGTGGAGAGAAATCTCGGCACAAACAGAGGTTTGAAAGGCAAGGATGTCTGTTTGGAAACCTCTTGTGGAAACTTCCTTTTAGGGCGATTGGTGCGTCTCCGGGTTGGGGACGGGCTCGGTTCGTGGCTCTTTATTTGAGGATTTCCCGGGGGCGGCCTCAGCAAGCTCATGCACTTCTCTCTACCTTGCACCCGCCTTGCCAATTTCTCTCGGTTTGTCTTTGGGCTAGTTACTTCATGGCTCTGTGTTTCCTGTTGATTTCTGTAAAAAGTGGGTGTTAGTTACGTGAAGCGGCCCTGGCGGTGCGGCGTTAAACGTGTGGCTGGTAAATGAAATAGGCCGTTCAAACTCTCCAGCCTCTCCGGGAGTAAAGACCTGTTAGTCTGTGTGCTTGTTGTTGTTGTTGTTGTTGTTGTTGTGTGCTGTGGTGTCGGTTCCGACTCATAGCGACCCTGTACAGGGTTTCCGAGGCTGTAAATCTTTACAGGAGCAGAAAGCCTCATCTTTCTCGAACTGCTGACTTTGCGGCTCGCAGCCCGATTCGTAATCACTACGCTACCAGAGCTGTGTGCTTAGGTGAAGGTTAAACCCACTGCTGTGGAATGCAGTTCAACTCATGAAGACCTTATTTATATAGGATTTCCGAGACTAATCTCTTAAACGAGCTGACAGCTTAAACCACCGACGTTTGGATTCGGAGGCCAAAGCTGAACTCATTGCACCTCCAGGGGACCTCTCTTTGACTCTATGTTGTTGTTAAGTGCCATTGAGTCGGTTTCGACTCATAGCGACCCTGTGTAGGGTTTCCAAGGAGAGGCTGTGAACTTGGACCGTCGACCTAGCAGTTCAAGCCGAACTTGCAGTCCCGCGCATTAACCCGCAGCGCCACACCAGGACTCCCTGGACGTATTATTGCTGTGTGCCTTTGAGTCGGTTCCTACCCTTAGCGACTCTGTATAGGGTTTCCGAGGAGCGGCTGGTGAGCTTGAACCACTGACCTGGAGGTTCAAACCGATTTTGCAGTCCAGCGCATTAATTCCCCAGTGCCACACCAGGACTCCATATGTTGTTGTTGTTGTTAAGTGCCGTCCAGTCGGTTCAGACTCAGCGAAAGGCTCGGGCTCGTGGGTTTGAACCACACCAGAACTCCATTGATATGAAATCTTCCTTTGCAGACCCTTCTATGATAAGACAGACATACATTAACCAAAGCCTCCTTTAAAGATGATTCAAATAATTTAACTTTGCCAAACAATAAATTATTAGCCTTTGCCCTGTTCCTGGGAGGAGTATTATATGTCTTTGGAATTTCTTGAGTAGTTGATGGTGTATTGTTTTAAAACCTCCACACTTTAAGGAATTGTGCAAAGGTATGGAGCAGTTGGCCAGACTAGAGCCCTTTTACTTTCTGATGCTTGGTGATCTCAGAAAGGACTCATTATTCAATCAGGTTTAAGATTTTTGTTGTTGTTGACCCATAGCGACCCTGCATAGGGTTTCTGAGGAGCAGCTGGTGAATTTGAACCTATGGCATTTCAGTTCACACCGATCTTGTGGTCGAGTGCTTATCCTACAGTGCCAAACCAAGTGTCATCAAGTCACTTCTGACTCAAAGGGTTTCTGAGAAGCGGTTAGTGGTTTTGAACTGCCTGTACCTTTTAGTTGTATTCTTTCACCAAATTTAGTCAATCTCTATGCTGTGCAAATAATCTGAGAAGCTGGATTATGTAAAGAAAAACATGGCTTCAGGACTGGAGGAAGACTGATTAACAGCCTGCAATATGCAGATGATACAATCTTGCTTACAGAAAGTGAAGAGGATTTAAAATACTCGCTGATGAAGATCAAAGACCACAGCCTTCGGTATGGATTGCATCTCAATGTAAAGAAAACAAAAATCCTCACAGCTGGACCAATAAACAATATCCATATAAATGGAGAAAAGATTGAAGTTGTCAAAGACTTCATTTTGCTTGGATCAACCATCAACATTCATGGAAGCAGCAGTCAAGAAGTCAAATGACATATTGCATTAGGCAAATCCGTTGCATAAAACTTCTAAAGTGTTGAAGAGCAAAGATGTCAGCTTGAGGACTAAGGTGCGCCTGACCCAAACCATGGTATTTTCAATAACCTCATATGGATGCCAAAGCTGGACAGTGAATAAGGAAGACCGTAGAAGAATTGATGCTTTTGAGTTATTGGTATTGGAGGACAATATTGAAAGTACCATGGGCTACCAAAAGAACAAACTGATCTGTGTTGGAAGAAGTACAGCCAGAGTGCTCCTTGGAGGCCAGAATAGCCAGACTTCGTCTCTCACACTTCAGACATATTGTCAGGAATGACCTGTTCCTGGAGAAGGAGATAATGTTTGGTAAAGTGGAGGGTCAGAGAAAAAGAGGAAGACCACAAACGAGATGGATTGGCTCAGTGGCGGCAGCAATGGGCTTAGGGAGAGCAATGATTGTGAGGTTAGCCCAGGACCAGGCAGTGTTTCCTTCCGTTCTCCATAGGGTCGCTATGAGTCACCTAGCAACAAGAGCAGCACCTTTTGGTTAGCAGTCCAGTGCTTATTCAGCATTGCTATTGTATTTCCTCTTTTAAACTTCATTATAAAAACTTAATTGATGACAATGAAGTGTCAATGTGGAGGTTGGTGGGTTATCAGATGTTTTTATGTGTCTTTAACCATGATATTAAAAACAGCAACTAAAAAACCTCACTGTAACTGCTCAGCATGACGCCCTCCTGTTTTTCCTAACAGCAAGTGCACAGGCTAACTGATGGAATGAAGCTGTATGTTTACACTTCTTTAAAAAAAAAAAAAAAATTATTGCTCTTTATTTAAAAATATATATATATATTGTGAATTGAGTGAAGGTTTGCAGAACAGCTCATCTGTTTCACATTGAACAAATCATATACTTTGCTTCATTACAATGGTTACAATCCCCTCCATGTGCCATCAGTTAACAGTATTTACCTCTATATTCAGTTAACTATTGCAGTCTTTCCTGTGTCTCCCACTCCCTTCATCTTTCCACTGCCAGCCTCCCTCTTGTACATTACTGTCCTGTCCCCCGTGTTAATGTGTGTCTCTAGCCCATAAATACTTTTCTTTCCCCCCTGCCACCAGACTGTTTTCTTCTATTGCGAAAGCCTCCTCTTAACCTTTCTCAACATTGGTTTCAGCAACATTTGCCGTTTTGTGATTGACCAACTTCGCTCAACATAATGTCCTCCAGGTTCATCCGTGTTGTGAGGTGCCTCTTGGATTCGTTGTTATTCTTCAACTTTGCGTAGTTTTTTGTTGTGCGCATGTACCAAAGTATGGTAAACATTCTTCTATCGGTGGACATTTTAGGCTGTCTCCATCTATTTGATGTGTCGTTTGTAGACCGCATATTGAAGGACCCTGTTTTTCTTATCCATTCTGTTCTCTCTGCATCTTGGCTGTTGAGTTTAATCCATTTATATTCCGTGGACTTATCGATAGGGATGCATTGATTGCTTTCATTTTTTCCCCCCACATTCAGTATATTTATTGAACTGTCTAGTAGACAATATACACACCTTCCTCCCCGGCTTTAAGTCAGTGTGACAATTTTCCAATATAAATGACAATTTCCCAACATAAATGACTTAAAGAGAAGTTTGGTTAAGAATGGAATGGAACAGCCAAAAAAAAAAAAATCACTGATGCCTTTTTAAAAAAACCAACATTTTCACCAATTATTTTCAGACAAAGCCACATACACATGGTATTTGCACACTATGTGTTTTCAGTGTTTCTGGTGGAAGGGAGGCACGCAGTTGCAAGCGGTCATGCCAAATTAATCCAGGAAGTTTGTTCAGCTTCATATTAACCAAAGGCCCTGGATGGAAGATTCTACGGTCTCAAAATCCCAAATTGTCATGGAGCCATCGATGCCGGTAGTGCAGAATTTACGGCAGTCTTGCTTGTTTACCTCATAGACATATGAGTGATGCTGCCCTGGTGCAGTGTCTCCAAGGCTGGGTTGCGGTCCTCAGTGGTGGCCCGCTTGTCCATATTACAAAAGTGCTCCATGGCTGCCATGTTGCGCTGGATGCTCTGTTTGGGAAGTCCAGTTTGGAGACGAAGGTCAAGCAGTCACCTCATTGTAGTTAATTAAAGAGCATGGGAGGCAGTCATGACCAGCAGCCACGACGCTGTTCTCCAAGACAAACAATACATTCAAAAGCGTCAGGAACTCGGTTTTCAGAGTTGAAACCTGCACACTCTTTGAGGTGTTGGCAACAGACACAGTGCTGTCGTGGCTGACCCAGGCCAGGCGACTCCCACTGGCGGGGAAGCTTACCCTGTGCACCCAGCCACCACGGCCGCTGCCACCAAACTCTGACATCAGCTGACCAAAAGGCGTCTTGCTGCCCCATGGTGTACTGGCCGGCTTCTCATCCACTTCTTTAACGTAGGCAGAAAACACGCTGCATTGGAAGTCACATAAGCCTGCTGCCAGCAAAACATTGTTGGGATGTCAGTCCAAGCTGAGGACCGTGGAGAGGATCGGCTTGTTTACCCACTAGTCATTTTCAGACTCGGAGTAACAGAGAGAGATGAGCCGTGCTCCACTTCCCACGGCAAATTTGTTCTCCAGTGGTGACCACCTCACAAAAGTGGCCATGCGGTTAATTCTCAGGATCACCACGATGGACTTCCAGACACCATCTTTTTGACTCCAGACATACATACGCGTTGTGGTCTGCCCCTACAAGTGACGATGCGGTTGCTCCTGGGGACCCAGTCGACACCTGTCATATGTCTGTTGTGTTCCTTGAGTTCATGAGCTGCCACCCACTGGCTCCTGTTCTTCTTATAGATGTGGACTTCGTGATTATTGGGGCTAAGGGCGATCTGGGTTCGATCCCTGCTCCAAGCATGACAGGTGATTGGCTCTAGTAAAACCGGATGCAGATATTATTCTTAGTGTACTCAAAGGCTAGAAAGCTGGGCTCCAGGCTGTTCGGTTCAGCTCTGAGCCGAGGATTCATGGACTCTGGTCAGTCGATATGAACAGGCTCCCTTGCTTTCATTTTTCTGTATGTCTTTAGTGGTGTTGCTGACTTCTTTGCCCCATGTAATTTTCTGCTCTGAGTTCATTTTGTTTGTGGGTTTTCTTTGCATTTTTATTCCAGTTGTGTTCATGTTTACTCTTGCCCTTATTTTTGTGTACAGGTGTGCTAATTTTCAGGATAAAAAAAATCCTCACCACTGGACCAATAAACAACATTCTTATCAACGGAGAAAAGATTCAAGTTGTCAAGGACTTCATTCTTCTTGGATCAACTATCAACACTCACGGAAGCAGCAGTCAAGAGATCAGACTACGTATTGCGTTAGGCAAATCTGCTGCCACAAGACCTTTTTAAAATGTTGAAGAGCAAAGATGTCAGCTTGAGGACTAAGATGAGCCTGACCCAAGCCATGGTGTTTTCAATAACCTCGTATGCATGCAAAAGCTGGACAGTGAATAAGGAAGAACGTAGAAGAACTGGTGCTTTTGAGTTATGGTGTTAGAGGAGAATATTGAAAGTGCCATGGGCTGCCAAAAGAACCAATAGATCTGTGTTGGAAGAAGTGAAGCCAGAGTGCTCCTTGGAGGCCAAGATGGACAAACTTCGCCTCTCATACTTCGGACATATTGTCAGGAGGGACCAGTCACTGGAGAAGGATACCATGTTTGGTAAGGTGGAGGGTCAGAGAAAAAGAGGAAGATCCCCAACAAGATGGATTAGCCAAGTGGCAGCATCGATGGACTCAAGCTTGGCAACAGTAGTGAGGTTGGCCCAGGATTGGGCAGTATTTCGTTCTTCTGTACACAGGGTTGCGATGAATTGGTACCAACTCGATGGCACCTAACAACACCACCACCACCCTGTAATTTATTAAATTTCTTCCCTATTTAAAAGTCTGTTTTATCTTGAACTCTACTTGACTTCCTTGCCATTTGGAAGTTCTGTAACCTCACAATTCCCTCTTTTTTCTTTGTAGTTGACTTCATTATACATGGTTATCTCTGGTTCCCTGTTTTCAGTCTTGTAGGTTTGTTTTACTTTAAATACTTCTGTATCTGGATTGAGTGCTGGGTGGTAGTGCCATGAATGGTAATCTCAGGTTGTTGTCAGTTCTCAGCCTGTGGCATTTTTTGTAAAATTGGTCTGGTCACAACAAATTCCTTTAATTTCTGTTTATCAGGAAATGTCCGGATTTCTCCTTTGTATTTGAGGGACAGCTTTACTAGGTATATGATTCTTGGTCAGCAATTTTTTTCTTTCCGAGTTTTGTATATGTCATTCCATTGCCTTGTTGCCTATATGGTTTCTGCTGAGAAATCAAAGCTTAGTTTTATTGACTTTTCTTTGGAGGCAACTTTTTGTTTACCCCCAGCTGCTATCAGGATTTTTGACTTGTCTTTGGTTTTGGAAATTTTGCTGATGATACGTTTTGGTGATTTTCTTTTGGGATGTGCCGTGTTTGGGGTTTGTTCAGCTTCTTGTATGCTTATCTTTTCCTCTTTCATGGTGTTGTCTCTTCCTGTTCTGGAATTCCGTAATTTGTTGTTAAGTGCTGTTGAGTCGTTTCCAACCCATAGTGACCCTGTAAGGGTTTCCAAGGAGCAGCTGATGAGCTTAAGCCACCGACCTTGTGGTTCAAATCAACTTTGAAGTCCAGCACATCTAGTATACTAGTATTGAGAGATAGCTCTTTAAGCTCACTAAATCAGTTCCTGTTGCTTCAAATGTACTCCTTTTCCAGTTCATGTATTGTCCATTTCTGACATCTTAGTATTAATCTTCTGAATTGCTAATTGCAGGTTTTGTGTTGTTTCAAAATTCACATTTATTTTGTCTGTTTGGTCTTGTAGTGTTTTCCTGAAATATTCTAAAGTTTTTTTTTCTGTGTTTACCTTGCTTTCCATGATCTTTCTGTCAATCCTTTGAAGGTGCCTAAATATCATTCTTTTCAGTTAGCTCCATTATCTTTGCTTCCTCAGAAAGGTTTTCCAGCTCTGCATTTTGGTCATGTGTTTTAGCTATTTGCTCTTGTTTCTTTGTGTGCGCTAAAATTATCTGTTGTTTCCAGAATATTGTGAGGTTGTACTATTTGCATTTAATTGATAATTGTATGTTGATTTGGTTTTAGATGCTCACCAACTGCCTCCTGTGGGGTGTAGTTAGAGAATGGAAGTGTGTATATGATTCCCTATTCACTGTTCATGCACCTTAGTTTAGGGTGGGTTTGTCTGGTGTTGGTTGCCGTCTGTCATTGATAGGTGGTATAGCATCTGGTATTGCTTCTTTCCCAGTGGGTAGAGCTCCGGAGGGTACAGTTGTGGCTGTCTTCTGTTGGATGTGAAAGAGAAAATCCCTCCCAACACACATTCAGGAAAACCAAACAGAATAAGCAAAAAAGAAACTAAAAATTAACAGAGAACGTAATAGAGAGTAAAGACTAGGGTGGGTATAAAGACAAAAGAAGGATAGTGAAATGCAGTTGTAGAAGAGAATAATAGAGAAAATAAAAGAAAGAAAAAAAACACACAAGAATAAGTGAAAAGAGAAAAGAGGGACAAGAAATTCAAGTTGTAAAATAGAAAAATGAAAAAAAAGGAAGAATTTTTTTTAAATACTTAGAAAAAAACAGGGAGAAGGAAGATGAAGAGAGAGACAGTAATAAAGATCAAAAGTGGAAAAAAGGAAGAGGAATGAGAAACAGATGAAAAGGAAAAACAAAAGCAGAGATAGAAAGGGTAAAATTCAAGGGAATGGAAAGAAAAGTAGGAGAAAGAAAAAACAATGAAACAAACAAAAAAGCGTAAAACAACAACAACAAAATAGTATGACTTTTGCACCTGGAGAGGGAAAAACGGGGGGTGGGGGTGGAGGGGAGTGCTTCTGCAAGCCACAGAGCTGGGTGTGGGAGCATGTGACAGCGGAGTTCCTGGCCCTAGATGGAATTCTGTTGGCCTCAGTGTGACCTATGTTCAGGGCACTGATTCCGCAAGAAGTTCATGGAGACCCCAGTGGAGCTGGTTTCAGTGTCAGGACCACTGGGCAGCTGGGGCCAGGGTGACCGGTTAAATGCTGGTCTGGTGGCTCTGTGGGGTCTGTAGGTGTGGAATTGAGCCTGCCTGAATCCAGGCACCAATGCAATACGCCTGGTCCCTGCCTCACAATGGTGTGGCTCCCAACTATGTGTCTCTGAACTCCCGGAGAGCAGGGTTTGCACTGGGGATGGCTGACCACCCCTCAAGCCATTAGGGGAGCAGGGGGGAATAAAGAAGGAATCACACCTTTCCTGTCACCCGTGTGAATCTGCTCTGCCCATGCCACCTTCTGTTGTCAAAACTCTCCTTATAGAGAGCCCTCCTTACAGGGAGCAGTTCTCTGAGGTTCCTGGAGCGGTGGCCTCGGAGGTGACTTCCACAGGTGACTCCGTCCCTGACCCCTCCTCCCTGTGCACCTCTTCTCTTCCCAGCGTCAGCCTCCTCCCCAGCACTGAGGTGCTCACAGCTCCCTCCTGACAAGTACAACGATTCGTCTGGTTGTTTTATAAGTGTGTGTGGTGCCTTGAATTCCTTTGATGCAGCTTTTCTGTCTAACGTCCTTGCTGGGACCTTGCAAATAAGGTGTACTGGACTCTAAGGATGGGATGGGTTAGGCTTAATAGGAACCATCTCAGAAGAGGAGATGGACGATCCCAGGACCATCAAGAAGGAAGAGCATGAGTGATGCTTGAGGTTACTACCTAGAGAGATAGCTACTGCAGAGGTGGTGGCAGGGAGACAGAGCTGCTTCGGGCTCAAGGCTGTAGACTGGGAAAGCTGAGTGCCTACAGGCAGGAGGCTGGCTTGAAGAATGTGCCCTTTGGGCATTCATAGTCTGCCTAAAAGAGCTTTGTTAACACTTGTCTGAGCTGGACAGAAGCCAAGGGGTCACATGACTGAGAGGCTGAAAACCGGAGTGAGGCATGCCTCCCTCACAGACAAGAGGTGGTCCCAACTGCAGAACGGCAGCTTCCTGAGTTGGTTTTGATCTTGAATTGTACCCTGTTCACTTCCCTAATAAAACCCATAATTTTGAATATTGCTATGAGTTCTATGTGCCATTGCAATGGATGATCAAAAAAACCAAATATGAAGCCGAGAGTACTGTGGGAGGCGTGGTTGGTCAGAATAAAGAAGGCTGTAGGGTGGATCATGTCTGATCTCTGCTTCAGAACTGGCCTTGGGCTTATTTTGAGTTTAATTCTTTTTCCCCCTTGTGAAACCAGGGGAAGTCAGACATGGCTCCTACATGGGTTTACAGGGGGGTTTCAGAAAATTCATGGAGAATTGGAGTTGCAAGATAATGGAATTTTCTCATGAACTTTCTGAGGTCTCCTCAGATAAAAGTTTTTAATTCCTCCATGGAAAGAAAAAAAAAATGACGCAGTGTGAGCAGAAAAAAATAACAGCTTTGCATGGAAATATTTAACAAATGCACACCAGAAAAAGACACAAAATGTATTGTAGACACAAAATGGAGCAGCTGGGGACTTTAGATCCAGAACTATTAAAGGTTCACCATAGAAAGTGAAATATTAATAGTAATATAGACAAAAGTCATGAATAGACAAAAGGAAAACTCAAAATGTCCAGTGAATATGTGAAAAGATGATGGTATCATTTGTAAAATGATTCTGTGAGAATTAGAAAAATGAATTGTTTTTCCTTATCAGATGACCAAAACTGTGGAAATTTTTAACCACCTTTCCCATCCTATGTAGTCATGAATCTTAAAAGATAGCTCAAGAAAGAAGAAAATATGCCCTTATATAATTATAATTTTAAGTGATTCTTTTTTGTGATATTTTCATTTGACATTTATTTTAAATGACCCCAAAATAATATCAGCATAAAATAATATTTTGCATTTCTTAGAACTGACAAATGGAGACCACCAATTCTATGATGCAAATAACATCAGATTTTAGCTACCTGGATTTAAGCCAAAATTAAGGTTAAGGCCACAATTCTCCACCCGC